GCCAAAGATGATCCATGAGCAACTTAGTTTAGGAAAGTGGTTTTAACCTCTTTTGTGCCACAGATCTCTTTAGTCCAATTAATCTATAGATAACATTCTCAAAAATTATAAAAATACTACATGGAATCTTTATAACTACAAAGTAAACAATCATAAAAACACAGTTATCAAAATATTTAAAGATTTCTAGTATGCTAGTAAATGTGCTTCATAATGCATTTCCCATTTTTAAGCATGTAACAGTAAACATCAATGACATTTCAAGATATCTGCAAAACCTGAAATATATTAAAATTAGTGATTTCTCTTGATGACAAAGTTACAAACCCTGTTGCCTCCACTGAAATTTAAAGGACTTTTGAAGCTTTTCCATCTAGATTCCAGTTAGAAGGTAGGGAAAATAAGTAGGCAAATTTTAGTCCTTAACCATACTCAGGTACTTCCTCAATTGCACCAAGAACATTGATAATATGTGCCTCAGGGGAAAATGGGGGGAAAAAATAGGTTTTGGAGTCAGAGACTTGTGTCCTAAAAGCCAGTCTTCAGACTTTAGTCCCCACATTATTTACACTTCAATGTCTTTAAACAGCTGAGTTTTGCTTCCTTCTTTTAGAATAATTCTTATATCGTAAGGTCAAAAAATTAAATATTAGTTAATAAAACGCCAAATGACCAATGTGTTGTTTTGGACTGATCTTATTTTTATTTTTTTCTGGTACCGGGGTTCGAACTCACCAGCTTGCGCTTGCCGGGCAGGCGCTGTGCTGCTGAGCTAAACCTCCAGCCCCTGGACTGATTTTAATACTATATATTCAGCCTCTAACATTTAGTGACATTATTTTTAATAAAATTCATGAGAATCAGAACAACATGCTGATTCACAAAGAAATGACTAATGAGAATACTAATTTTACATAAAAGTTTTGTGAGAAACATGGTAGTTTGTCCCAACTGGGGAGTAAACCCTCATTTGACATCAGAATGTGCTGATCTAAATCCTAGTCCTACTGACTTAAATATATTAAGTTACTTAACCTTTTGGCCCCAGTTTCCTCATCTGTAAAACAATACAATGTTCATTTTCAGACAGGATCGAGCTTAATCACACAATAAATGCACTTATTGCTAAACTTCTAATATTATTAAAGCCCAAGCAATCAATTTGAAAATCAAAATTTATTTTGGTTGGAATTCACATTGACATAATTGGAACTTTGGATTTGTTTTGCAAAACACAACTGCACTTATAACCTGTAGTATTTGCATGACATAACATTCCTAACACAAAGCAGCCTTGCTTAAAAATTAAATCTGATTTCTGCTGGGTGTGGTGGTACATGCCTGTAATCCCAGCACTCAGGAGGCCGAGGCAGGAGGATCGTTTTGAGTTCGAGACCAGCCTGGGCTATAAAGTGAGCTCAAGGCCAGCTTGTACTGCACAGCAAGGCCCTGTCTCAAAAAGACCAAATAATAAAAATTTTTTTAAAAATCTGACTTCTTAATTCTGCCAAAGGAAAACAAGGATGTGGATTTTAAAAACGATGAACAGAAAGAATGAGTTAGGTAATTTGTTGGTGTTTTTTCTTTTTTTGAGGCAGGGCCTCACTACCTCCTTCAGGCTGGCCTTGAACTGTGTAGCCCAGGCTGGCTTTGAACTCAAGGTGATCCTCCTGCCTCAGCCTCCCCTCAAGTGCTGGGATTACAGGCATGCTCCACCATGCCCAGCTAGTTAGGTAATTTATAACCTTTTAATGATTTTCTTGGAATATTCAAATGAATATTTGTCATTAAAGATGGATACACTGTAAGGTAGCAATGTCTTTTTAAGGTCTAATTTAAAGATCTCAAATTTATAAACCACAAGGGTATCAGATTTATAAGGTTATAATAAAAAGTTTAGCCAGGTGTGATGGTGCTCGCCTATAATCCCAGCACTTGGGAGGCGGAGGTAGACGGACTGCCTTTGAATTCCAGGCCAACCTGGTCTACACAGTGAGTTCAAAGTCAACCTGAACTAGAGTGAGACGCTGTCTCAAACTCCATCCAAAAAGAATACCAAAAAACAAACAGAAAAAATTAAATCACTTATTTACTTTATGCCCATGTCCCATTGCCCCTGAAAAATACCCGCCACAAGCCGCCCCAATTCCCAGATCCACTATGTAACCCGTAAATTTCCTCCCTCATTGAAAAGATTCTTTTTACGGATAGTTAACAAACATCAAGTCGCAATGTTGTAGCTTTGCTGGTTTCACGTTTTCACAAAGTAAGAACAATATGATCTGGAATGTACTCAAAGCGTTAGCCAGGCAGTCAGCTGATACTCACTGCACAGAACTGATGGACAGAAATAAGAGAAATTAAGCTTGGTATCTGTGTAAGGCAGGTATCACTACCTTGAAACCTAAAATAGGCCACCGGCAGACGCTGCAACTAAAAGTATCAAAAGTACTTCTATTGTTCAAACAACAATACAAAAAAGAACACGACAACGGCTTTCCCCGGACACGTTTCCCTCATTCCTGGAATTTTCCTTCTAAAGAGCCTTCAGTCGGTTCGCAGAGCCAACCCGCATCACGCAGCCGCTGCCCGAGTAACTTTTGCGAAAGGTCAAAGCGGTGCCTTTCAAGGCTCCAACCCCTACTGGCTTCTCCTGCGTTCACAGCAACTCGCTCTCGCCCACAGAACGTTCCAGAGAGCTGCGGACAAGCGCCGGACACGACCTGGCGGCGACTGCAAAGACGACTCCCACTTTCTTTACAGAAACACTTTCAACAAACAAAAAGGCACGGAAGCCGCACGCCGCCCACCCCCTCCGCGGCCCCACATGTTGCCGCGCGCGCTCCCGCAGGGCCCGGCCCGCCGCGCC